TGGGGGCCAGCCCTGGTAGCAAGAAACACTAATGATGAGCTTGTCCTTTCAAAGGTGGTTTTCCAAAGAAAGGGGTATGAAGGATGGCTTTTCTCTATCTCGGCTCCTAAGAATTTTATTTTAACTTCCCACTGCTGAGGGCAAGGCCAAGGAGAGGACAGTTTTCGTTCTTCACTGCATTCCGTTCTGCAGGGTTGGAATTTTTTTAAAACATGCATTTATTACTTTTATAACTTTGCAAAAACTAGTTGTAGAAATTTGAAGACTCTCACTTCTGAGATTGTGTGCACACACTTACATGATTTCCTTCCACCTAGAACGTTTCCCAACTTCTGTGGCTGTTGCGAACCCCACCTCCTTGAGCTCCCACTTCTGAAAACTCCCACTGAGCTATGGGCACAGCAGCCTGCAATGTTTACACTTATCTTTCTCTCATAGAGTGGCTGGTGGGTTTGAACTGCTGACCTTTTGTTTTGCAGCCAAATGCTTTAAGTACTGCATCACCAGAGTTTACATGGCAAATTAGTTCGGTTTGTAACAGTTTTTATAGAAATCGTCCAGGGCCGTTGGTTATGGTTTTTACAGTGTGTCAGCACTGTATCAACTGCTATTTGCTTAATCTGTGTTCATTTCATTTCTCCACCTACAGTAGTAGTGATGTAGTGATGGGAAAGGCAATCCCAAATATGGGTGAAGTCAGCACATGACTAAGGTAAACAGAGTCTAGCAAGTACACAAGGGGGCAATTTCAGTAAATGGCATAACATATACAATTTTGCAACAGCAGTTAAAAACAACCAAAACAATACATGTGTGGTTACATAAGTAGACATGGACTCATACTGCGTAGAGGAAGGCATGTGCAAGTAAATGCACGTGTGTGTACAGGTGTATCTGTGCAAAAAGGGACACAAGCAGTCCCTAGATTATGAACCAGTTTCATTCCTAAATCTGTGTGTAAGGCAAATTTGTACATAAGTTGAAACAGTTAGATACGGTTCATATCTAACAGCAGTTAGTCAATTGTCTTAGTATATAGTAGATGGTGTACTTTTCTATGCAAAAAAAAAAATCATTAAAGAAACACTTTCAAAGGCACTAAAACATCTCTAACATAATACAGTAATAAAGTTTCAGTGTGCGTAACAAAGTAGCATCTGTCTGTTATTACAAACCATTGTATATAACTCGAATTTTAATAAAATGGGCTCAATGGGGTTGGTTAGCAATTATGGGTTGTACATAAATTGGACATTCATAACCCAGGGCCTGCCTGTATACATGTTTGTATGTTCTGCATATGTGTCCGTATACAGAGGCTTCCTAGACATATCCAAACCACTAACGGGACTGCTTCACTGGGCTGAAAGGCTTAGGACCATAGACTCACGGGACAACTTAGTCAACTGGCATAAGATACTTCACAAAGATAGTGTGCTGCATCCTAGTTTGGTAAGTAGTGTCGGGGTCTCAAAGCTTGCAAGCAACCGTCTAAAATACAACTATTGGTCCCTACTCCTGTGACACGAAAAAGAATAAAGGAAATCAAAGGCTCAAAAAAGAAATGAGTCCACGGGACTAACAGCTCACACGAACCACCACCTCCTCTAACCTGAGACAAGAGCTAAACGGTGCCCGGCTACCACTACCAACCATTCTGACCAGGGACACAATAGAAAAGTTCCAGAGTGGGAGAAAAACATAGAACAAATCTCAAATTCCTAAAAAAGGGCAGACCTATCACCTGAAGACACCTGTCGAATTTGGGATTGAAGCTATTGCTGCAATCACCTTTCAGCCAAATAGTAGGCTGCTTTATAAAATAAACAGTAATCACCCATAACTAATGTGCTCCCTTAAACAATTAACTATATGGGATCAACAGTTACCCAAAAACAAAGATGAGAAGGCAAGGAGGGGCAGGGAAGCTGTATCAATGGAAACAGAACAAACAGAAAGGAACGAGAATGCTGACACACTGTAAAACTATAACCAACAGCCCAGAACGATTTCTATAAACACTGTTACAAACAGAACTTATTTGCCATGTAAGTTCTGGTGATGCAGTACTTAAAGCATTTGGCTGCTAACCAAAAGGTCAGCAGTTCAAACCCATCAGCTCCTTTGTGAGAGAAAGATGACGCAGGTTGCTTCCATAAAGATTTACAGCCTTGGAAATACTATGGGGCAGTTCTACTCTGTCCTGTAAGGTCATTTTAACTCAGAACTGACTTGATGGCCATGGGTTAGGCTTTTTTTTTTTTTTTTTTTAATTTGCTGTGTAAACTTTCAATTAAAACACAATAAAATATTGTTTTTAAAAAAAGTGTCAGAAAACAGAACATGTATGGATTGTTGAATAGAAACTACCTTGCTCTGTAAACTTTCACCCAAATCACAATAAAAAATAAAGTAAGACAAAATAATAATAATATGATTAAGAAAAAAAAAAAAGATGGCTTCAGGAGCTATGTCTGGTTTGATGTTTAAAGATTATCTCAGGGAAATCGTTTTAGGACTTCATCTAGACTCCATGGCTACAGAAGTTTTAGATGCCATGAGAATATGAAAATCTGTTCTGCATTTTCCCCCTTTTGATCAAGATTCTTCTACAGAATCTTTAATGAGTATCAGTTATTTAAGGAAAAATTTACATAAGGAATTTTCTTCTAACACTAGAAAGATTTGTCTGAGTAATTTTAATTGGAAAGAGTGGAACTGTTTCTCAGGGTTCAAATAAAGAAACCACATGCACCCTTATCTGTGTTACATTTACATTTTATATTTATATATAAAATATTAAAAAATTTATACTTACATTTTTTCTGAATCCATTTTAGTGCTGAACATAATGCAGGCACCAGAGTGTGAGTTATTTGAGGGCTGGAAGTATCTTCACACACACAAGCTCTTCAATAAATACTGGGTAAATTAACTTTATTGAGCATTTACCAAAACTCCGAAACTAAACTCACTGCTGTCAAGTCGATTTCGACTCATAGCAAGCCCTCTTTGGGTATCCAAGGCAGTATCACTATAGAAGTAGATTGCCCAATCTTCTTTCTGAGGAGTGGCTGGTGGGTTTGAACTGGCAGCCTTCTGGTTAGCAGTCAAATGCCTTAGGCACTACGCCACCCATTGAGCATTTGGAGACCCAATAAATGTTATTTTAGGAAAAAAGCTATCAAGAGAATTATGTAGAAAAAAAAGAGAGAGAGAGAGAATTGTGTAGATAGTATGCTAACGCAAAGGTCGGAAGCTCAAAGCCCCTAGCCGCTCTGTAGGAGAAAGATGAGGCAGTGTGCTTCTGTAAAGATATACAGCCTTAGAAACCCTATGGGGCTCCAGGGTCACTATGAGTCAGAATCGACTCAACGGCAGTGGTTTGGTTTGGTTTGAAAGGTCTGTAGCCTCTAAACCATGGCTTCTTACGTCACTCCAAGTAAAAGCCAAAATTCGGACCTGGGCCTAGGGCTCCTAACCGCTCTGACCCCTGGCACCTTTCTGACCTCATTCTGCTCTTACGACCACAAGCACCTCCAACCTGCCTGGCAGACCCCGCCCCAGGCATTTTGCACTTGCTTTGAGCATTCCTCCTCCAGCTCCACGCCTGCATCACTCAGCCCCTTCCCTCCCACTCTGGGTACAGTTAGGCAACCATCAGCCCTCCCAGTCCTCCGCTGACTTCCTGTCTGAACAGAGGTGTAAGGAAGCGGAGGGAGGCGGCGATCTAGGTGCGCGTCTGCAGGAAGAGCGTCCCGACGGAGAGCACAGCGCTGCTGCCAGCACGCTCGGAGCCCGATCCTGACCCGTCACCGCCTGACGGCATTACAGTTAGTGTTCTTACTGTATGTCTCCCCCACTGTAATATCAGCTCCAAAGACCAGGACTTTTTTCTCTTCTTTTGCTGCTGTGACCCCAGCACCTAGAACAATGCCTAGTCCACAGCAGAGGACCAACAAACAACTATGAAGATGTCCAGGAAATCCCCACAGTCCCCCATTAGCTAAGTGACACACATTCACACAGGCCCCGCCATCCAGGACTGTAACCTAGACCTGAACACATAAAGAACAAAGCCGCGGCAGCATCAGTACACGCTCCACTTGCCGCAGCCATAGTCCATGTGACCCACTGCCTGTACTGTGAACTGACAGTCTATAAAGTGGAAGGGAATTCAATGCATCAGGACAGTACCTGGATCTACCTAGAAGGCTGTCTGGGAGCTCTGGTGGCGTAGTGCCTACGGTATTTAACTGCTAACCAGAAGGCTGGCGGTTCAAACTCACCAGCCACTCCTCGGAAGGAAGACTGGGCAATCTACTTCCGTAGAGAAAGCCAAGGAAGGGTCGCTATGAGTCGGATCCAACTCCATGGCAGTGAGTTAGAAGGCTGTCGACAAATTCCCAGCCTCCACAGGAAGTCTGTCTCTTTAACACAGAAATCGCTTACCGGTACTTAGTAGCAATGGTAGTGCTGTTTACTATGAGTACGTTAAAAAATGCAAGGCCCTGATCAAGAGGGTACTGAAGCCAGGCAGAGAAAAAGAAGTTGGGTATTCAAAGACACGAAGGAATCTCACCACATCCTGGAGTTTCGAGTGGCCTTAAATACTCGTGGAGCCAAGAAGCAACCTGACGCATGAACTCCTTTACTGACAGCTCTGGTCTAGGCTTAAGCAATGTACTCACACCTTCTCCAGAGGGTTCTGTACAGGGAGGTGTCTTCCTTACAAGGAGCAGAAGTATCCTGCACTTGAACTGGCACACACTGGCTCTCAGTCTTCTCCAGCAGCCACACACCTCCACCAGGCTAAGTCCTTTTTACATGGCCATTCTCTACATGGAGTGTCACACACGTGCTTGGCGAAATCATTTCTTCTCCAGGCTGAACATGCTCACATCCTTTCCACATTCTTTATATAACACAACTACGAATAGCACGGCCTGCAGTAACCTGAACACCGTCCCGACACAAGCTCTAGATTATCAATGTCCCTTTTAACACATGACAACCAGAGATTAATGGAATTCCCTGGATGTTACACAGCCCAGTCAGAAAGCAGTAGAAGCCTCACTTCTTTTTTCTTGGACACTGAACCTCCAACCACATGCCCCAGAGTCTATAGTCCAAGATGCCTGCACAAAAACCACATTTCTCTTAGCTGGGCCTACACCACAAGGAACAGGGACCCTCTCAGTGAATAATTTCCTACATTTTACCATCATTCACATTATTTCCTTCTTTTCAAAACAGCCTCCATATTTTCAAAGTTTTTATCTACTTAACCCCAAACCAAACCCACTGCCATCGAGTTGATTCTAACTCACAGTAACTCTCATTGGGTTAAAAAACCAAAAACCAAACGCACTTCCGTCAAGTCAGATCCGACTCACAGCGACCCCTCCTTGGGTTTCCGAGGCAGTATCACTACGGAAGTAGATTGCCCAACCTTCCTTCCGAGGAGTGGCTGGTGGGATTGAACCGCCAGCCTTCTGGTTAGCAATCAAATGGCTTAGGCACTACACTACCACAGCTCCCCTCATTGGGTTAGCTCTGTATAAAATCAAAACCAAACCCACTGCTGTTGAGTTGACTCGGACTCACAGTGCCCCTAGAGGACAGAGCAGAACTACCCCATAGGGTTTCCAAAGCTGTCATCTTTCCAGAAGCCGACTGCCGCATCTTTCTGCTGCCGAGAGCCTGGCAAGTTCAGACCCCTGACCCTTCTGTTAGCAGCCAAGCACTTAGTGTCACCAGGGTTCCTTTGGCTCTGTGTTGCTGCTGTTAGGCAATACTTGATCCATTTCCTATTTTTATTCATGACAAACATGGGCCCATCTGAGCCATGGAATAAGCTGGGGTCCCCTCACTGACCTGCTGAATTCCATCCAAAAGCAAGAACAAAGACTCTTAGTAACACCTGTGCAGTCTTTACTCCAGTGAAGTGCAGCTTCCTTTTGGCTTTATGAAATACTGAAATAGCTTTTGCATACTCGTTGTTTCCTCAGAAAAATCCTTTTGGGAGTCTCTGGACTAATGACCTAATTTCCTTTTAATTCAATGGCCATTGTTCTTAGAAGTAAAGAAAGACACGGGCCATGCACTAAGAAGTGATCCCACCTACTGACGCCAGGGGGCAGACTATGCAGGTCGAAGGTTCGGGTGAACTTTTGTCCCAGTGCAAAAAGATTCCCTCTTTGGAGGATTCCAGGTCGAAGAGTCTCTTTCTCTCTCTCTCTCTGTCCTCCCTCCCTCCCTCTCATCTTCTTTCTTTTTCTTTTAAATACATCATGACATTTGAAAGTTTATTTCTTCAATTTCTATGTGGACAAAGGTCCGTGAACTTACTAGTGACCAAAGCGGCAGTGCAGGGCGGCCAGGTTCAGCGCTGCGTATCTCAGGCTCCGGCCATACCCCTCTTCTCCATTACTTTTGCTCTCGGCTCCGGTAAGAATCAGGCGGTCAAAATAATGAAGGAGGCTGTGCGTTGAACTGAAAACATCTTGGACCCGGAGGTTGTTTAAGTAGCTGAGATAATGCTAGAACAAGAAACCATCCACATGTTTTCCAGGTTCCACTTTCTCCTGGGCAAGATTACACAGCACACCACCCTTCTAACAAGCCACCTACAGTGCAGCTTAAGCTTTTCCCTAGTGGGGAACAGACTACATTCACGACCCACTGGCTTGCCACAGCTCCCTCTCGAGGGAGTCTTCAAACGAAAAATGGGAGTTTGGTTAGAATGGGTATCGGTTTTATCCCAAATATGCATACTCTGTGCCACCAGTTAAGTCAGGACCCAAGGGTGAGATGTGAGGCTAAGGGGCGCTCACTTAGCTCAGATATTAAGGTATTATTTTGAAACAAAGATTTCAACTTGAATTCACAGATACAAATCATGAAATTATTTTTTCTAAATGTCCAAGTTCAAGCACAGAGAAACTTTTACTAGCTTGCTAAGTTAATTACTTTCTATCCTGAAACCATTTTCATGTTGACTCTGAATCAAACTTTCTTCCAAACGCAGCAATCCTAAATACTAAGCAGCAAAACAGGCCTGTTTCTACCTGTGGGCAGAGTTAGATGTCAAATCCAGGTGCTAATAAGAAAGCCTTGAGAGTTTTTTAAAAAAATCCAGTTAGGAGCACAGTTACTGGAAGAAACACTGTCAAAAGAAAAGAATTATTCAGCCCCAAAGCTTACTTTTCACCTCAGCCTACTCTATCATCTCCTGCCCACATTAGCAACATCGCAGAGATGATGGATGAAGGAGAAATCAATAGATCTAAAAAAAACTCCCCATGGCCCAAGGGGACTGGCAACCCATGCCCGGTCATTTACTTGCCAATAACATGATCTCCTTCAGGAACCCAGATGAATGGTTCACTCCTTATTTGCATGACCAGTCAACATAAAAATACCCCTGTCTTCCAAACTCACAACACATTCTGGGAAGACTCACCGCTTCAGCAAAATCAGGATTAAATTTCAATAAGTTGTTCAATTCTTTCTGCAATGAAGCTGGCGTGAGGGCTTTAGTCTCATCATTCTTCAACAAGGAAGCCTGCAATTTTCAAATGACCAGTGAGTATATGGGAATGGATACTGACATCACCCGAATTGTTTTCTGCAGAGGCCCCTGCGTGGTCTGGCCCCCAGAGCACCAGCCTCAGCACACTGGCCCTCACTCCAGATACACTGTGGACCACTGTGCATCCTCTCCTCTTTGGCCACGTGAATGCTGTGTCCTGACACACCAGGCCTCCCAGGCACCCCGCCCCACCCATCCGCTGCACCCATGCCTAGCAAACTCCTGCTCATCCTTCACGGCCCAATGTGGACTCATCAGCTGCTTCAATGAACTGCCACACTAAGTAAGCACCCATAAGGCCCTGCATGCTCCCACAAGCCCCCTCCACTGACCCTTCCTGAGACATCAGTCACACTGTATAAACTTGCCAGTCTGACCATGGCTCTTCCCAGACTGTAAGCCCCTTGAAGTCAGGTATGTGGTTTGCTTATTGTGGCCTCCCCAAGCGCTTGCCAAGGGCCTGAAGGCGCGAGTGGCCTTACTGCCCCCTTACTGCTTTGTTTCATGTGGATGAGCTCAACGATTACACGAAATATGCAGAAACCAAACTGCGAATTAAGTGGTAGGACTTAACTGGCTACAGATACTTGGCTCTCAATTTACCTACACGAGTTACACGTTACAAGTAATCATTCCAAATGCAATTTTTAACTCATCAAATTATTATAGAAAATCCCCAAAATGTAGAAAAACATACAGAAAAATAAAAGATCATCTGTAATCCCACCACCCAGAAGTAACATTAGTAATACTTTAGTGCTTCTTATTCCAGCATTTTTTTTTGTTTCTCTGTGTGTGTGTGTGCGCACACGTACATGCATGTACACAGTACACAGCCATCCTTCAGTATCCAAGGGGGACTGGTTCTAGGACCCCCAGCCAATACCCAAATCCACGGATGCTCAAGCCCCTTATATAAAATGTCAGTATTTGCACATAACCTACAGACATCCTATTGTACTTTAAATTATCTCCAGGTGACTGGTAACAAAGCCTGACACAGTGTAAATGCTACGTCAACAACACCTTACACTCACTCTGAGCCTTTGAGGGATTGTTTTGATGACTTAATTAGATTTTTTTCCCTCAAATATTTTGAATTCACAGATGGTTGAATCCATGAATGTGCAACCTGTGGGTCAAGAGAGTTGAGTGTACGTACATACATACATACATACATACATGTATATGTAAAGAGTCCTGGTGGCACAACAATTAAGCATTTGGCTGCTAACCAAAAGACTGGCAGTTCAAACCCACCCAGTAGGTCCACAGGAAAAAGACCTGGCAATCTGCTTCCATAAAGATTACAGCCTAGAAAAATCTATGGGGCAGTTCTCTGTTGCATGGGGTTGTGATGAGTGGGAACCAACCCAACGGTACCCAACATCACCGTGTGTGTGTGTGTGTGCGCGTGTGTGTGCGTGTCTGTGTATGGGAGCCCTGGGAGTACACTGCTTACAGCACTCAGCTGCCAACCGAAAAGGCTGGCAGTTCACACCCACCAGTAGCTCCATGGGAGAAAGATGAGGTAGTCTGCTTCCCTAAAGATTTATAGCCTCAGAAACCCTAAGGAGCAGTTCTACTCTGTCCATAGAGTAACTATGAGTCGAAAAGGACTCAATGGCAATGGGTTTGTGAGTTTACCTGTAGATGTATACACATGTATTTAATAAAATTAGAATGTTATAACTTCACTTCCTGCTCTTTCATGTACTACTACATTGTAAATTTTATCTCACCATCAGTCTTTGAAAACATGTTTTCTGTAGCAAAATATTAACCCTTTGACTGTCATATTTACTGCAAATACTTTTTCCATTTGGTTCTTTGCCTTGCCCAGTGAAACCTGTGAGCACTGGAACTTGATGGGGTGGCCTTGTTTTCCTGGGTCTTGCAAGTTTTTGGCCTTCGACAGGGTGCGACCTTACCACTTTTCTATTGCTCTTTTTAGTGGAAAATATTTGCGTTTTCCTCCTCTGGCAGGTCCTATGTTACATAGTTCAGGCTTTCATAGGTTTTACTGTAATTTATGGGAATACGTTCTCACGAGGGTCATTTCTAATTTTCATGCTGAAAAGCTTCTCCCATTGCTCTGACATCTGGAAAGACTTTCCCACCCAGAGACCAGTGGAGGCTCACAGGTCCCTTCTGTCTCAGTACAGCTTCAGAGACTGACATTTAACCCTTGAAGCACCGTGCTGGACCCTGAGGCACAAGAGTCAGGTGTGGCTCCAGCTTTGCTTCTGCCCCTACCGTCAGCCCAACATCTAGCTGGGCTTTTCTGCTTGAGATTCATGTGCAGAGGACAATTGATTCTGGATCTCAACACTACATTCTTCTGAAGAAACAAGGAGTCACAAAAAGAGGGGGAAGTAGGAAAACAGAACAAAAATCAAATTCTGATGCTGGAAATCCCATGGGAGAAAAATGTTCACTTATGCTACTGGGAAATTGAAAAAGTATACGTGTAGAAGAGTTTCCATCCTGCTGCACAACGTAAAGCCAGGGGAGTACTTATCACATAACTTCTCTGTTGAATACTAACTGTTCCTCGAGAGTACTTAAAATGACTGTCATCTGCCAACAACAGAAAAAGAAACAGTACAGCTCAAAAGCAGCAGCAAGAAGGATTTGGGACGAAGTGACTGAAGCCTGTAGCTCCCTCTGAAATGCATCCAGAAAGAAGATGAAATGATGGGTGGACAGAGGGTAAATGAAAAGTCGGCTCAGCAGAAGATCAGTTGCAGAACACGTGTGGGGGGGCGCAAGGGCACACACTGTATGGTGCTTTTCAACTTTTGTTTCTTTCTGGAAATAAAAGATCAGGGGTGAAGAAGCACATCTTCTAGCTGTCTTTATCATAATTTTAAAAAACAAAATTCACACACAAACAGGAAGGGGCACGTGGACACAGCTGTACTGTTAGTGAAGAAAAGAGGACCAAGAAGTCAGGGACAATGCAGAGTCATTAGTAAACCTGCCTGAGCGGCGTTTCTGAGCGCCACAGGATAAATGACATAATGAACATACCTGCTGAGAAAGAAAAACCTCCGCTTGCTTTTGGGATAGAGGCCCACTACAAGATACTTCCTCTTCTCTGGAAAAAAATTACAATCGTAAAGTTACACAAGGCAAAAACGGTTAACAGAGTCAACAAATTGTTGCCTCCGGAGAGTTCAGAACTTCACAATGTGATGGTAAATGACTTGCCAGAGTTCATGATCCACATGGCCGGATATAGACCTACATCCCACAAGCTGCCAGCACGATCTCTTCAAATGCAGGTCTATCATGCCGCCCTGATTTAATGCCCTCCAAGGCTAACCCATCACCTTCCACAACAAAAGTCCACACTGCTTAGCAAGGCAGGTGCGATACTTCCGGAACACGCCCTATCTCTCCTTGGCCTTCTCTTTCTCACCTCCACGCCAGCCCTGACAAACTCTTTCCAGGGCTCCCATCAGGCCAAGATGTCCTGCTGCTTCCTCGGCCCACAATGCCCACCTTCCCAGTCCTTATGGGACTGTTGACACCATCCACCCTTCAAGGCTCACTCAGTATCGCATCCCTATGGCATCAGATGACATCCTTCCTTTGGGGTCCATGTGCCGGCGATGCTCGCGGTAGCACCATGCACGGCCACACTCTCTGCTCTCACTCTGACGAGTGTGCCAGTACTAGGCACTGTGCCCGGTACACAACCGCTGCTCAAGGTTTGGGAGCTGAATGGAGAGTTTCTAACTCCTTATTCCAGATACAAGACAGTTCTGGGGAAAGGTCTGGTGGGGTGGCTATGAGCAGCCTAGGCCAGGGCAAAGGATCCATGCTGAGAAGCTGACTAGAAGGTCAGAAAGGTCAGCCTTCCTCACACACCAGGCTGTGGAGTATCTGAAAGGAGTATATCTGGACATTTCTGAGCAGGGAGGGACAAGACAAAAGCAAGGGAAGGGAGAGACAGAGACAGATGACGCCAGAGGCCAGGGGGCCCTGAACGCTTCAACGTATGCCACCAGAGCACGGGATCTAGCCTCTGCTGTCCCCCGCAACCTCATGTGCTCAGGCCACACTGTCTGGTCTCTTTCTTACCTCCACCATGTCAGCTTGTCCCTGGACTGGGAGCTTTGTTCTCTTAGGCCCGCTGGCTGGAATGCTTTCTACAGCCCCTCTCGGAGCTGACTCTTCTCATCACCGGGCTCTTGGTCTCAGAGAGGCCTTCCTCACCAGCCTTGTCCCACTCACTTTTTCCCTGTGCCCTATTTCATGTCTTCACCATGCCACTCGCTCTCTGAAGTTACGTTCCCCAGTAACTTAGTAACCTCTCTGCTCTCTGTCTGTCCCATATAACTATGTGCGGACGGGGACTCTGTCATCTTGCCACAAGCACCAAAAACAACGAGCAAGTTGCCATGGAGTCGATGCTTACTCATGGTGACCACAGCACACCTGGCATAGTGCCTGACACACAATAAGCGCTCAATGAACATCTGTTCGATAAATTAATAAAATCGAGAGATTTAAATTATATTGCTAGCAAGTAAAGAATTTCCACTTTTGTGAGGGCCTTTCGGGAGCTCTGGTGGCACAGTGCCTAAGGCATTTGACTGCCACCCAGAAGGACGGCGATGCAAACTCCCCAGAAGGAAGACGGGGCAATCTACTTCTACAAAGATTTAACTCCTCGCAAACCCAGTGGGGTTGCAACAAGTAGGAATCAACTTGATGGCCGTGGCTTTGGTTTTTGGTTTGGAGGGCCCTTCAGAAGCACAGGGAAGCCACAGTTCAAGGGTGGCAGCCGCCACTACAGTCTCATGTGTGTGATCCCTCAGGCTGCTCTCCCACCGCAGGACATGGAAACTGCCGCTCAGCAACAGAAGCCAATGAAAAGCTAACGCTAAATGTCACTTAGTACCTTCTCCTGCACTGATTAAAAAATAACACTCTTGCTAAACATTGTTGACTGAATCTTCAGTCCCTCTCTCCTTGCCTAATAACTGGGCTCCCATTATGAAACAGGAATCATTTGGATATATGGTGACAGATTGGCAAGTGTGTGTTTCTCCTCTCTCTAATTTTAACAAGAATTTCTAATGCCAGAAAAATATTATCTCTGAAGAAAAGAGAGCTAACCCCCAAGACCATGGTCCTCAGGCATCCTTCAAGCCTGGAACTGAGCTATTCCCATAGCCCAAACTTTCAGACAGGTCTATAAGGTGAGTAACACCAGGGAGGTACACACTCCTTAGAATGATCAACCCGATGAGAATCAAAGGGGCAGCATCTGCCCAGGGACAAAGCTCAGAGGGCAGGAATGGATAGGCTAGATGGACGACCAGAAACAATAAACGTAGGGAGGAAGTGGGAAGAGTGCTGTTTTACACATTAATGATGTACGTCTGGGAATAACGAACACCAAGGTGCAGAGGTGAGAGGAACATCGGCTGTGATGGTTATGAGTCAGCTTGGCCGTGGGCTGGCGGTTACATAAGGATGTGGTCATCTTCACTTTGTGATCTGATGTGGTCATCCTCCATGTTCATGTAATGCTGATTTGCACACAATGCCCGGGCCTCTGGAACCTACCACGTCAGTAGATGAGGAGTGGGCGTGTTGCCTAGAAGCACTCCTTAGAGGAATTAACTAATTATTTATTTGTTATTTAATTAAATAAGAAAATAGATAATAATAATAACAAAGACTATCTGGGTCACTTCCCAGGTACAGAGGCAGGCAGCAAAGAGTGATGCGTGTATCTGGAGGGCAGACAGCTGAAAGCCAGCACATGGATTCTGGATGAAGGAGGGCTTACTGCCCTGGAAATCATGCTATTTCCCAGGACAGAGCCCTGAAGAGGAGAAGCATCCCTGCCAGAAAATCCCAGGTTACCTGACAGATACATCCAACTCCTCTTTTTCCATTTTTCTTCCACCTTCCTCTCTATTCAACAGTTCCATATCTGTATCTTCCACTGTCTTCTTCTCACCATTTTGGAAGTACTGTTGAAGGGCAGTGTAGAGTTTAAACACTTGGCTGAACGAAAGCTTACTGTAGGCCAGGATCATGTGACGCAGAAATAAACCTGCAAAACGGGAAATGAAGCCGGTTACAGCATTAACTGAGATGCATACTGCACAGTGATGATGAGTGCTTGTCACAATCCTGTCTTCAACAGAATTCAAAACCAGGCACTGGCTACTGCCGTTCGCTACATCTGATGCGTTCATGCTGATTCTTCACAAAGCTGGTGTGGTTGTTCAGTTTGGGTGTCAACTTGGCTGGGCCTGGGTGAGTGCCTGCGCAGCTGGACGTAGTATTCCCCATGATGAGACTGGTAATCAGCTCCATGGTGGAATCTACTGTGAGCAGCTGAGTAGCTGCCTTAGGGAAAGTGGTCTGCTTTCTGTATATAAGGAGAAGTCTTGGGGAATGGTCTCTAGCCTATGGTACACTTGGACCCTGTATGTAACCGTGTCATTGCTCAGCAGCCTGCTATGCTCTACCAACCTTGGGACTTAGAATGCACTTGAACTAATGGCCTGCCGTGTGGTTTGGTAACATCAGGACCGTGCCTTTTTATTTGTCAACCTTGGGCTTGGCAGCCTCAGCAGCCAGCAGCTGTCTGAGTGAAGAAAAGCCTCTAGCTCCAGTGGGCCAGGAGCAGGAGGCAGAGCTGAACCCCAAGGTTGAGGGGCTTTCACCCAGCCCCTAGAGACTGGCACTTTGAACTTGGACTTAAAGCCTCCAAATTGTAAGAATAAACTCCTGTTTGTTAAGGCTGTCCCGTTTGTGGTATGTTCTTATCAGAGCAGCACTAGGGAACCAGAACAGCTGGTTTCTTCTCGATATTCAGGGCTCAGGCCTCGCACATCCATGTCACCATCGCTATCCACCACCATCTCCAGTTTATTCTCATCACACTGTTACTACTGTCATTAGCTGCCGTCCGTCAGGTCAGTCTCGGACTCACGGTGACCTGCGCGTGACAGAATGAAACCCCGCTCGCCCCACACTATCCCCAGGACCGTCTGCTGAACAGCCTGCAACACAGCTTCCAGACCAAGCTGAAAACAGCCACTGTCTCTCCCGAGAACTGTGTTTACTTTTTACTGTCTGGCTCTCCCCCCACAGTGTAACCTCCACAGAAGGAAGGCCCATCTCTACATTCCCTCGTAGGTTCAGAGCCTGCCACACAGAAGATGATCAACTACCATCCAACTGAAGCTGAGTAACAAACATTACCGTGCAGAAAGCCAGCTGGACTGGGGATGGGTGTAAACCTGACAGAAAGGTGTCAGGAGTTCAAATCCAATGCCCAGAAATAATCTCTAAACCTTGAACTGAAACTGTCCCATGAAGCCATCATTAAAATAAACAACAGTGTAGCCCAAGTAATCAAGAATGTTTGCTCTGAGCCTACACTCCTGCAGAGAATTGCCTATGTGAGTGTAAACCGCCAACCGTTCATCTAAAGCACAGACGAGAATGCAACGACCTAAATGAATGGTGATGAAACCATAAGGGGAGAGAGAGAAAGTGAACATGGCGTCAAGTGTGCAACCAATGTTACTGAACCGCTTATGTAGAAATTGTGAATGGATGTTTGTCCGGTTGTGTGTATTGCCACCAAAAATAAATATATATATATTTTTAAGTGTGAAGAAATTTCTTCTACATCTTCACCTTAGATCTTATTTTAAATACTATCTTTTTACTAGCTTCTTTTTCATAAAAAAGGAGCTCTGGTGGTATAGTGGTTAAAGCATTTGGTTGCTAACCAAAAGATCCAGGGTTCAAACCCCCCAGCCATTCTGTGGGAGAAAGATGAGGCAGTCTGCTTCTGTAAAAATTTACAGCCTTGGAAATCCTAAGAGGGTCACTATGAGTCAGAATCAACTCAATGGCAGCAGGTTTATTTTTTTTTCCATCTCTTTCATAAAAGTTTAGTGGGTTGTCCTGACTTGTACTGAACAGTTAGTTATACAATGCAATCAACTGATCTGGAGGGCAGTGAGAATGAACCCGGAAACCCTAAAAACTCCTGGGAACCAGGCTAACAATCAGATCACTGCAGACAAAAACAGAAGGTGCTTTTCTGCAAGGCAATTATTTAAACACAGAGCAAAACGACAAGGCAATAAATACAAACTCTGACATGGGCAGCATGCCCACTGACACAGCAGAGAAATGACCCGTCGAATGCAGAAAGCTGTTCACTTCAAAGAAAACTGCTCTTCTTAGAAGAGTGGCATACCTACAACACTTGTCTTGTGAACCTCTGGTTCAGTTCCAGAAAAAGAATCTGAAAGGTCATCAAAAAACTGTTCCATATCCTTCAATTCACCTTCAGCCATCAGTTTGATTCTGAATGAAAAAATTGAGGTAAGTATTTTAGTTAAGGCCTTCTGAACACATTCCAACATTTCATATTTCACAATGATCATCCAAAATTAGTCTATTTAAAAAGCAAGTCGGACAAAGGTTCTTCCAGATAGCCTTTCTCTGGGCTACTTAGCCTCTAGATCTGCGTGATCCACTATGACAGCCACTAGCCACATGCAGCTATTTAAATTTAGATTAATTACAATTAAATAAAAGTAAGACTTAGTTCTTCAGCAGCACTGCCCACATAGCAAAGCTTCAGTAGCCACACGGCTAATAGCTGCCATGCTAGACGGCATGGATAAATAGCACTTCCATGACTATAAAAAGAAACATGAGCTGAGGCTGCTTTAAAAAAAAAAAAAAAAAAAAGCAGTGCAATTCAGAGACTCATATAAAATGACGGTTCTTAAAATAAATGTGATCCTCCAAAATGTCATTCTCACATTTCTGAAAAGTATCATTGCTGGCTTCTTAATCATAAAATTTGAATTCTCTGCCACAACAAAAACAAACAGGATAGACCCACATAGAATACTACACTTTGAAAAAAAAAGCACCTGCAAAATAATTTGTCTAATGTTATCCATTTTTTAAAAATTTAAGTAAAACACTAAATAGTAAATACTTTATTATTCTAGGTACTTAGAGAAACAACCTGGAATAATAAAGATATCACTATTATTATATACCCTTTTCTAACCTTCATCTACAGACAGATCTTCATATATACAGAAGAAAATGGCCTTTACCTGATCTGTACTGAATTTGCCAGCTGAGGACACGATTCTTCAATTAACTTGTACAGTTTTGACAATGGAATATCTGGGCCCTGGGGACAGGAGAAATAGGAGGTCACAGATGAATTTTCAAAGCCCAGAAATTGAGAACGAGTTGCAAATAGGACCACACGTATCAACCACTCTGCTGGAACAATCAATCATTCCAAACACAAAATCTCTGCTCAAGAACACTGCCCGTTGACCCGTAACATTAAAGTCCTACTTCACATTTACTTACCATTTTCTTCAGTAGGTGGAACAGTTTTAAATGGAAATAGGATTTGTAGTCAAAGGACTCCACCATTCTTTTTTCCTTAGCTTTAGAATCATGACAACGTTGTAACATCATTGATCCCTAGTTTCCTCAATAGTAAAATGAAGGTAATATCGCCCTTGTTTGGGGCAAAGATCAAGGAAGATTATGCGAGGTACTTCAAACTGTAAAACGCTATAAACACAGAGGCTTTATTTTCCATCTACAAAAAATTCTAACAAACATAATCTCATTGGTTCCTTCCCAAAATCCTATAAGACAGACAGGATTTCCTATATGCTGAAATCCACTGCCATGAAGTCAGTTTCAACTCATAGTGATCCTACAGGGCAGAGTAGACCTGCCCCATACTGTTTCTAAGGCTATAAAGCCTTACAGAAGCAGACTGCACCATCTTTTCTCCCGTGGAGCAGCTGGTGGGTTCGAACTGGTGACCTTCTAGTTAGCAGCCGAATGCTTTAACCACTACTTCACCAGAGCTCCTACACTATATAATATATGTTGAACTACATACAAAGTCCTGTTAAGAGACAGAGAGTAAGCAACCTCAGTTACCAAGAGGATTACAATCTAGTTCGGAGTTAAAACTAAATGAAGATTCTTTTTTGGAGTGTAAATTGGCAATGAACATGACAGCTTCAGATGTTGATTCCCAGCAACCCAACTATTCCACTTTAGCAGGCATTTTGTGGAATGATGAAAAATGGACCAACTGTTTGATACTCAGTGAAGAGTTAAATTACGTTTCTTTTTTCCTGGTGGAATACAATGTAGCTATTAAAAAGAATGAGGTTGACCTACTCAAATGTACTGACATGGAAAGATCTCCAAGACATGGTAAGTGAAAAGAGCAAGTTGCAGAAATACATAGCATTTTTGTAAAAACAAAAAACACATGTACATATGCAGATAGCCCTATGTATGTCTCCGTATATATCTATACACATACAGGAAAAAGATGTAGAAAGATCCATTCCAAATTTTTAATAAACTATTGTTGAATGAACGAGCATTAAGTGATAATCTCTGGGAAGGGATAGGATTGGCGGGAAAGCAGAACCGTAACTTTTCACTCTATCAATTTCTGTATTATTTTTAAGGTTTTAGGATAAATCTTTGTATATTAGTTGAGCAGTTAAAAATTAACTAATTTTTAAAGTCAAAGAATAAGTGAAGGAGTTGAAGCCCAGCTGGAATGTTACTAGACAAATTCTATAGATACTTTGATTAAAACTATGTAGTAGTTAGCCAGGCAAAAGCCAGAAAAGAAAATCCCAGACAGAACAAACAGGACGAGCAAAGGCAGGAAGGTGTGAGTGTTAAGACACCAGGACTGCAGTTCCGTTTTTCTTTTTTACCAATTTTTTAGTACTGTGGCTTTTATTTGAATAATGGGAGAAGACACACTCATAATGGTAGCAATGTGGCTGAGGTCCCTGGGTGGCACACACTGTTAAGCATTCGACTCTTAGCAGAAAGGTTGGAAGTTCAAATCCATCCAGAGGTCCCGCAGAAGACAGGCCTGGCAATCTGCTCCTGAAAACCCCATGCAGCTGGTCTACTCTGCAGGTACAAGGTCACCATGAGTCAGAACTGACTCCACGGCAACCCACCACCACAACAACATGGACGGGACTGGAAGCTACAAGTTAAAGAGACACCCCCCCTTTTAGGTAACCAACTTCCTTTAGCTAACCCCACCCTCACCAAGGTCAAATACAGGGGATGGATTTAATTTTTTAAAAAGCCCTTTATAAACTATACTGAGGGAGCTCTGGTAGCGTAGTGCCTAAGGCACTTGACTGCTAAGCAGAAGGCTAGGGGTTCAACCCCCCCAGCCACTCCTTGGAAGGAAGGTTAGACAATCTACTTCCGTAGTGATACTGACTCGGCAACCCAAGGAGGGGGTCACTATGAGTCCCGACCCACTCGACGGCATATAACAACAACAACAACAACAACAACAAACTATACTGAACTGCAGAAATGCAACTCTGAGTAATAAATGTATTACATTTACCTCTCCAGATCCCATAATTTGGGGGCCCAGATCCCAAAATTTCTGTCTCTTCAGCCACTGCTCCTCAAAAGCCAACTGCTCCCCCCTCAAGCCTCAGCTTGATCCTCCACTTCCTCTGGGAAGTCCTCTCCATTCCTGTAAGCTCATCCATCACCACTAGAAGGGCCTGCCACATTTCAGTCATTCCACAAACGCCAACGCAGGCACTGTGCTGGGCTTTGGGGATGCAGGGATGAACAAAAATAGGCAAAGTCCCGCCCTGGTGGAGGTTACAATGTAGTGGGGGGTAGAGATATCAATTATACAATCATATAAATGGGAAAACTACAAGTGATATAAGGGAAGTACATGTCCTATGAGAACAAATTCTAATAAAAACAATAGTCACTGATGTAGTATTTGCTATGTGGCACACTGTGACCTGCTTTACGTGGATCTTATTGAACAAAGCCAGCCAATGAGAGCGTTTCTACCCCTGCTCCCATTGGACAGTGGTAAACTTGAGCCCCAACTAAGTTAAGGAACTTTCCGAGTTGCACAGCTACTAAGTGCCTGCGCCTGCACAATGAAATCAAACATGTGAAGTGCTCGCGGAGCTCGGGAAGTAATCAATATTAGCCCTTCGTTGTAGTCATTACTGCTAGTGATTACAGTCCTCGGGAGGCAGGGAGCCTGTTATTCCATCTCTATGTCTCCAACGCTCAGGACTGCGTGCAGCCCCTTTTTACTGGAGGCCATTTCACAGATCTGGGGAAATAACTTGCCACCAGAAATTCAGCTAAAAAATACTGGAGCCAGGATGGGAGCCTGCAGGGAAATGAACGCTTGCAAAGCTCCTGGCCGGTAAGCGCTCAGTGTTAGCTGTCGAGATTACTAGCGTTGTATTTTCGTGGTCCTCCAAAGAAGCTGGAGTGTCCGACAGAGCCCGAGGCCCAGGCCCAGGGCAGCACAGAGCAGGTGCTCAGGAGAGGTTTACTGCATGAGCGGGAGCCGGCTGGGGCCCTCACCTGCAGCAGCGGCAGGAGCAGCTGGTTGAGCCTCCGCCGCTCCAAGAGGCTGACGGCGCCCTCGCCGGTGCGGCCCATCTCGTTCAGCAGCACCAGCACCGCGATCTTATACGGTGTCACCCAGTCCTTGATGCCGAACACATTGGCGTGCACCACCCCATTGGTCATCATGGGGTTGAAGTAGAGGCTCTCATGGACGCTGGCCATGGCGGCCCGAGCTTGAGTACAGCCCACTGCGCGCCACTCCTAGATTCCACCTCACCCGGCACAACTGGTGCTAAACCTCTGTCAGCCGGCGCCGTATCCCAGGAAACGAGGGGGTGAGGGGGTCTCTTGCGCTCGCGGCATGCCTGAGCCAATCAGAGAAGCTAATGAAGAGCACGTGGTATACATACAGCCAATAAGAATGCCCAAGTGTACAATTAGGGGTGGGGTTAAGGGGGTGCACCTAAAGACTGATTCCCTACAGAAACGCGTGCAGAAGAAGAGCAAGTTCCTGAGCGAGAACAGTTTCTTGTGCAAGTTGGACCCAGACCAAGTGACAGAGAGAGAGTCGACTACATCTCCCGGCAGGGGCTGAAGGG